GGGTGACTACGTCGACCGCGGCAAGCAGTCTCTCGAGACAATCCTGCTGCTTCTGTGCTACAAGCTCAAGTTCCCCGAGAACTTCTTCTTGCTGAGAGGGAACCACGAGTGCGCCAATGTTACGAGAGTGTACGGTTTCTACGACGAGTGCAAGCGCCGCTGCAATGTCAAGATCTGGAAGACCTTCATTGACTGCTTCAACACCCTCCCGATTGCTGCCATTGTCGCTGGCAAGATTTTCTGTGTACACGGAGGCCTCTCCCCCGCCCTCAGCCACATGGACGACATTCGCAACATTGCCCGACCCACCGATGTTCCCGACTACGGCCTGCTGAACGACCTGTTGTGGTCTGATCCAGCTGACATGGAGCAAGACTGGGAGGCCAACGAGAGAGGCGTGAGCTACTGTTTCGGCAAAAGAGTCATATTGGATTTCCTTGCGACTCACGACTTTGACCTGATTTGTCGAGCGCACATGGTGGTTGAGGACGGCTACGAATTCTTCAACGATAGAGTCCTTGTAACAGTCTTCAGCGCCCCCAACGTAAGTCCCTACAGATATTTCTGGACGAGCTTTGCTAACATGTGATCATAGTACTGTGGCGAGTTCGACAACTGGGGTGCAGTCATGTCTGTTTCGAACGAATTGCTGTGCAGCTTCGAGCTGCTTAAACCGCTAGACTCGAGTGCACTGAAGAGCCACATTAAGAAGGGCAGGAACAAGAGGCAGAGCATGCTCAACAGTCCGGTGAGTAGACATTGGAGAAACTTGGAACCCAAAGACTACGCAGTCACTAACATTGGTACAGCCTGCACATGTCGAGCCGCGAAGCGTTTGATGAGGAGGTACGCCGGGGAGACGTGGGACAGCAGAGAATCTCCATTCATTGATGGATTATTATGAGTTACAATCAGTCGGGCAACCGGGCAGAACTTTTCAGATCAGAACACAATAGGCGAAGCATGCGGTTCCGGCAGCATCACCAATACCCTCGGCAGGTGGAATTCCCCGAAGGACATGAGCGCCTACTCGAGTCCGGTCATAACACGGACAATGCCTGCGAAAGGCGTAATAGCCGAGTCGAGTGATGGCCAGGTTGGGATACTTGGCAGGGTCAAACTCTAGCAGGTGGCCGTTCGTTATTTGATCTCTAGACACGGCTCGGGCAAGAGCAGGACGCAGCTGGGAATCTTGCGGATTTCCTTCATACGATAGGACGAGAGGGCATGCATCGTTTGCGGCCCTCGGGAACTGGTGGATGATGGTTGAGGAGGACTCTCGATTGCTAGCCTGTCTCGGACAGTTGCACCGCGAGCTAGAGATACAGCGTACATCCAGTCCATTTCCGAATGTTCATCGATGAAGGCATCGACTAGCGGGGTTTATCATTGTTATACAGTAAGGTAGTCAGGGGGTGTGGGAACTAGGATTCGATTTTGTACGCTTGGTTCTTTGATTACCTGATGATATCTTGCCGTGAACATTCTTCTGCCAATAATGTAGGGACCTATCGATTTTTGCCATATGAACAAATGAGACATAAATGAATGAGCTTCAGCTGAGCAGCATGCGGCGAGCTGATGTTGAATGCAAGGCATGTGAGTGTAACGGAGTGCCGCGCTTGCATCGCGCTGGATGTGCCCCTCCATGAAGTTGCCCCACTTAACGTCCTGAGCTCAGCCTGTGACATCAACTTTTTCCCTTCAAGCCGTAACCCCGAGAAGGACGAAGTGCAATACAGACGAACACTCTCCATTGCCAATTGCTCAGCGGGGCGATTTGAATCAGTCAGAAGCGAATCTCGCAAACTGAATTGACCTTCCTGCCTCCTCCTGTGGCTAGGTACGACTTCTCCAGCTCAAGTCGAAAGCGGAAAAGTAGGTAGAAAAATTTACCTCTACTGCCCTTTCCTCACTCTCTCTTTCTCTCACAACCTCAGTCGGGACTTCTTTACCTTGAACTGACCCACAGCTTCTCCTTCCCAACCACATCCTTGGCTCATCCTTTTATCTGACTTTCTCTTTCAGGAAGTGCCAATTCAACGCCTTCTCCATTTACAAAGCACCCGAGGAAAAGAAACTTGGGGGGGCCAAAATGGAGAACCAAGCGCCCCAGATCGACGAGTCTGAGCAACGCGCAGCGAAGCGTCTTAAGGTGGACGATTCCACGCCGCAGCAGACTGAGGAAGCGAAGCCCACTGAATCTCAGGCTGCTGAGGAACGCGTTGCTGTCGATGAGGCTACGAAGCGCGTAGAGCCTGTTCCTGCCGCGGGCAACGGTGAGAAGGCTGATGTCTCGATGAGCGAGGCACCTGCTGTCGAAAAGCCGGCTGAGGGGGAGTCTGCACAGCCGAAGCAAGATGCCAGAGACGTGAGGAAGGGCCAGGCCCCAATCAAGGCCGAGTGAGTATACCTCCGAATATTCTACAGACTCACGGAATTGACGTGTGAATCAGATTTCTCATTCACAGGGAGGGTCAGGTGAAGGAGCAAGACGAGGTCGTCGACGATGACGCTGCCGAGGGTCGTGACCAGGGCGGCGATGCTCGCGATAGCCGCGACGCCCGTGACAGTCGTGACGGCCGTGACAAGCGCGACAAGAAGAAGCGGGAAAAGGGCCAGAACAAGGAGCGCACCTTTGGCCACTTTGACGACAACCTCCGCCTCTGCAACACCCGTGCCTACGCTCCCGAATTCTCTCCGCGCGAGTGCAAGTTCGGAGAGAGATGCAACATGCTTCACGACCTGCGCAAGTATCTCAAGGAGGGCCGTCGCGAGGACCTCGAGACCTTTGAGGGCAAGTGCCCCGTTTTCGAGCAGTTCGGGGTCTGCTCATCCGGCTGGAAGTGCCGCTTTGTCAAGAGCCACATGAAGGAGGTTGACCACGAGGACGGCCGCAAGGAGCTCATTCTCGTCGAGGAGCCCAAGGAGGCCACGAAGACGAGCGGCGAAGCGCCCGCCGAGACTGGTCGCGAAGATCTCCGTCCCGGCGTCTACAACAACACCGAGAACCAGCTCAAGATTGACCTCAGCCGCAAGCGCATCGACTTCACGGAGACGGATAAGTACATCTCCTGGATGAACAAGGAGGCGAAGCTGGGCGATGCGTTCCACCAGCGCCGCAAGGACCAAGTGATTAGCACCCAGGAGGACCTGCGCGCGCAGTTCGTCGACCCGCCCCTGAAGCCGTCCGAGAAGCGCAAGCTGTACTTTGGCAAGGAGACGCCCGCCCTGGCGCCCTTGACCACCCAGGGCAATCTGCCCTTCCGCCGCCTCTGCGTCGAGCTCGGCGCGCAACTCACCTACTCTGAGATGGCCCTGGGTATGCCCTTGGTTCAAGGTGTCAAGAACGACTGGGCGCTGATGAAGGCCCACGAGTCCGAGATCAGCCCGCCCCGTGTCAACCCGGACAGCAACATTGTCCAGGGCTACGATAACGCGCGCGATCTCAAGTTTGGAGCCCAGATCTCCGGCAGCCAGGCCTGGCACTGCGTAAAGTCGGCCGACCTTCTCAACCGCTACGTGCCCCACCTGCGCCTCATCGACCTCAACTGCGGCTGCCCCATCGACATGGTCTTCAAGTCGGGCGGCGGCTCCGCACTGCTCGAGGCCCACGGCAAGCTGGAGCGCATGGTCCGCGGCATGAACACGGTGTCCGGCGAGATCCCCATCACCGTCAAGCTCCGCACCGGCGTCAGGCAGAACCGCCCGACGGCAACGACCATCCTCGGCAAGCTCGCCTTTGGCTCCCGCGAGAACCGCGACCGGCTCGGCGCCCCCGGCTGCGCGGCCATCACCCTCCACGGCCGCAGCAGGGAGCAGCGATACACCAAGAAGGCCGACTGGGGCTACATTGCCGAGTGCGCCGCCATGATCAAGGCCTACAACGAGCAAAAGGACGACATCACCGACACGGTCCGCGAGGCCGACGAGTCCACCCTCCCCAACGCCAAGGACGGCCGCATGTTCTTCCTCGGCAACGGCGACTGCTACTCCCACGTCGAGTACTTTGAGCACGTCGAAAAGGCCAAGGTCGACACCCTCATGATTGGCCGCGGCGCCCTCGTCAAGCCCTGGCTCTTTGAGGAGATTGAAAAGGGCCAGTACCTCGACAAGTCGGCGACGGAGCGCCTGGCGTACGTGGAGAAATTTTGCCGCTTCGGCATGGAGGCCTGGGGCACCGACGAGCTGGGCATCGGCTTCACGCGCCGCTTCCTGCTCGAGTGGCTCAGCTTCTCGCACCGCTACGTGCCCCTCGGCCTGCTGGAGCACCTGCCGCCCGACCTGAACGACCGCCCGCCGGCGTACCGCGGTCGTGATGACCTGGAGACGCTGCTTGCTAGTAAGAACTACAAGGACTGGATCAAGATTAGGTACGTGATGATTGGGTTTTCCTTTGCACTTTTTTCAATCTTGTTTGTTGGGTGCTGTATGCACAAGATTGATTTTGCTAACTCGTATTACAGCGAGATGTTCCTCGGTCCCGCTCACCCCAACTTTACGTTCCAGCCCAAGCACAAGTCTCACGCCTACGAGGCTGAGGGCTAGATGCTGGTTTTATGAACAACATGAAGGAAGAATTGGGGTTGTATCTTGATCCGGAATGAGAGGCCCGCGGGAAGAAATGGAGGTGGAGGGATACCTTTTTTTCTATCTTGAGCTTCGTGTAGCGCGGAGATGCCGCGCTCAGATGCAGTTGAATCCTCGATGTAACTCGAACTTTGAGGAAACATGAGATGCAGCTGCAGGTGGAACAGAGAAGAAGAAATCAAAAGTTTTTGTTGCAATCACTTATGAGAGAGAGAACTGCCATTGATGGTCCTGAATCTGATAGCGTTGTGAAGCTAGTGACATCTCCCAATGATCCGGTCCTCCTTGCCGTTGGATCCATTCAAGCGAAGCGTGTTCCATCGCCAGGAGTTGCTGAATCCCATTGGGTTCCTTCCAACCGCAAGTTGCCTCTTTGTTCCAACGTCCACCACAGTGAAATGCAACAACAAGACCAGAATGCCTCCCATTCTCCCTCATTCCCGCCATTCCGTAATGCCATTGACCAAAACCTTTTGTTCTTTCCGCACCAGCACGATCCCCCGCCGTGCTGGGACCTCTCCAAGAGCAAACAAACGATCATAACGAATCCCACTGCATCTTCATCTCAGCCGAAAATCCTGCCTGGCCTTGCCGCCCCTTCAAATCTGTACGATATCCCGGAAGCGTCCTCGGTCGATACGGTGGTCACCAAGGTGTTGCCGAGAGAGATTCTAGACAGACGCAGCATCACCCGCAACGAACACCGAGACCTCGGGGCCGTGGGTAGTAAAGACGAGCGTGGTGTTGTCGTCGATGTACATCGTGGTGGTGGTCTGGGCGGTGACCTCGGGCAGGACCTGGTTCTTCTCCTCGTCTTGATGGGGGACCTTCTCCGCGGCAGTAGGGGCCTGGTCAGTGACAGCGGTGACGGGACTGATAGCAGCTGTGGCATAGTCACCGCCGCCGGTGGTGGTCGAGTTGATGGCGTGGGCTTCGTTGTTCACCTTGGGAGTATGTGCGAGGGCGACCATGACGAGGGCGCCGAAGACGGCGAAGGTGGCGCACATGAGGCTCAGGGTGAAGGTTTTAAAGCGGCCACTATTTTGATGTTGTAAGTCAAAGGTTAGCTATTATTCTTCTTTGTTTATTTGGTCTGTAGATTTTCTTGTTTTCTTTCTGTGATGCGATGTGACGTACGGGTGGTGAAGGCGAATGCGGCGAGGTCTGGTCTCTCTGGTCTCGGGTGCTTGGGTTTGCTCCATTGTGCGGTGTATGTAGTCGGCTTCGAGGGAGGAGATGTCGTTGGTTTTGTGTAAGTTGGGTATTTTTTCTTCACGATGTTCGGCTGCTTGGTGAAGGAAAGGTTGAGTTGGGCTTTGGAAATCGAAGCAGGCGGTTGTGTGGGCACCAGACGATTTTTTGGTCCTTCGTGTGTAGTGTTGTTTCTACAAAGGTATGAGGGTGATGAGAAGGATAAGGCAAGTCAGGAAGTCGATGGTCGAGGACCAGGTGAACTTTTGCCAGCTTGGGATGGGAAGGAGACAACATCACTGGGCTGCTCCTTCTCATTACGCACCTTCCGGCGGACAACTCATCGATCTTGCTTTCCTAATCTAATAGATCCGGTATTCCACATGTCTCGCTCTTTTCACCACAATGGCCTATCTTCATTGTTATCCAACTCCTTGCCTTTGCTCTAGGGCTTCATGGGCATATTCTATCGTGAATATATGGCTATAGACTTAGACTGCCAAGGGCAACAGTAAAAGTGGCAGCCATAGAATTTAAGACGCCATGTCAGCCTAAGCTACATCACTTGACTATCACACTCGAGTTTCTCTGACATTGAGTGTCAGCCTCCATAGACATGGAAAAGCTAAATATATGCTGCGCCTTCTAGTTCAATGTAGATGAGAACTTTCCGGACAACCTTTCTGGTACGCGAATATCTATAACTAACTTGCCCCCGCTTGTCTTGAAGTGATCGCCTTCTCACAGACATCTACCGCTTCGACACTGGCTACGCTTCGTGGGCCAGTGAGATTGGTCTCGACAAGAGGGCCCCATGTAAAGATTCCCGCATCCAAGCTTAGAGCACAGCCGGGATCCTTGTTACTTGCCAGCGATCTTCGACAAGTCCTGGAGACGCAGAGGAGGCAGTCGCCCTGCCCATGGTTCCCAGAGGAAGGCCCTCGTCAAAATGATGCCATGGCATGCTTTAAGCCATTTCGTTGCATCTGCATAGTCGATGAGAACGAGAGGGAGAGAATCCAGCAGGAGTGCATTGCTGGCCCGTTCAACTGGAATCCGTCTGCGAACGATTGCCCTCGTAAGCCCAAGCCCCCGCCCCCCACTCATTGTCCCATTGGGTCAAGACAGAAAGTTGACTACGAGTACTGATCACACAAGGCAGAGTATCATAGAGAGGATCGGTGGTCTGGAGACGGCACGGCATACATACATAGCGAGTTCTCGCGCTGTAGTAAACACGATGGCTGTGTCACCTTGTCTCACAGGCGCGTGTTACGGCGGCGCATGTCTACGACCGAGGCGTTGGAGCCTTGCAACTCACAGTGGTACCAGGCTTTGGATCCTTCGTCTCACAATCTAGTCGATGACATCCAGTTCAAGAACGTGACGTGGTGCGAGGACGCGAGGTGTCGGAATTTCTACAGATTTCGAGATCATGCTAGTGTGGGCACCTCGACAAGTTGAAGGAACTTGGTCCGTAGATGTCCAGGAGTATGTATGGGGTACTTTAGTTGGCCAAATCATTGAGGAATGGTGTAGAATAAGCGTCCCTACTCGTTCCGTTAAGCGTATATAAGTAGCAAAAGCATAGTCGAAGTCAATCCTCTAGCGTTCGTCGTTGTGCCTACATAGCAATGTAATTTGATGAGCTATGTGAATTGTGAATAAGAGTTACCACAGGATGTGGTAAAGACAGTCACTCATTCTGTCTTCCTCTACCATGAACAGAACATCTCGATCATTGCTAAGAACTTTCTTCTTCTTAATCTATATGATGACACTCGGTTCACGGAGAAAGCCCTCTAGAAGATCAAACTTTCCCCAGTCCTCCCATTCACATGAGAATAAGTACACGACTGAACGAATCAAGCCGGGCACCCAGCACCGTTGTAAGCAGTGCAAACGGCCCTGAATCTCTCATTCGGCTGGTTGATGCCCTGGAACGTGTCCCTGCACTGCTGCTCGGTCCACTGGCTTGACGTCTTACACTGCCCATCGTCGATTGTGGTTAGCATCATGGGTTTTCTCACAGCCAAGTACAAGAAGAACAATTTGTATGGGAGAAAGATGGCAAACAGGCTTCACTTACGACATTGTAGTTGCCGGCAGAGTTGTAGCAGATAGTTCCGCCGACGGCATCGCAGAGTCTGATGGCGGCAATGACTGCGTTGCCGTTGTTGGAGATTTGGCAGTGGCAGGAGAACTGACTTGCTGCGAGCGGCACCCTGTGGTTTTCCCATCGTTAGCTTTCTTAATTCAAGGGCATTTGCTGTGCGGAAAGATTCTTTCAGGAGGGGGATGTTGGTACCAGGCTGCAATGGAAACGAGGCTGACGACGTTGAACTTCATTTTGATTGTGAGGAAAGGTTGGATTTTGAAATGTGAGTGAGATATCTGGCGAAAACAAGATTCTTGGGTGAGTGAGGATGATGTCTTATGAGAAGACTGTTCTTCGAGGAGACGGGCATCGTCAAGCATCTTATACAAGTCATCAACTAGAGCATCTCTTCACCAAGTTCTCCTCTTTGCACCAACTTCCCACCTTTCATCCAGGCATGATGTTCCACCAACTTTCCAAGACTCCAAGATGCATGATTTCGTTGAACGAATTTCTTGGCCTCGTAACTCCGTCCGTCCGTCACCCAAGGGCCGCAAAGAAGCGGCCGCTTCAAGCCCTTCGACACCAGCAACATGATTCACGATACTTTTACGCGCCAAGCCGAATCCCACGCGAACCCGAAATCCACTATCCACACAATTCTTATCTTTATCTACACTGGACTCTAGAGATTGATAAAGCCAGAAGCGGATACCAACTTTTTCCCAAAATTCCCAGTATCCCCATTGATCTGCATAGACTGGGGTCCTATAAGAGGCCATGATCAACCGTGGCGCAATCAAAGTCAGCAAAAGTCACCTGTGAGCTTTCTTCTTGTTAATCAATTATAGTATTAGACTAGTTGACAACTCCTCGAGTCTCCCCCAGCCTTTCCTAGCCTTTTCCTCATGGCATTTAACCGCGACTCGTAACCTTAATTAGACCCAAGTTGTCGACCGTTTCTGGTGTATGGTAACTCGGCCGAGACCCCATCGCCAAGAGCGTACTAACGACAACCGTACGACGAGACCCAACGACAACTCCAGAGTTGACCAGGAACCTGTGTCAGGCACAGTCGACAAACACCAATATCGAGTCGGACTCTACGGAAAGTTTATGACAAGTTGAATATTCTCTAGATTGGACTACACGAGTGATTGCCGAATGAGGATAGTTTCAGCCTCCCGTGGGTCTCTACAGTCCGGGTTAAAGCAATATACCCGAGGTGGTTCAACTTTTGCACCGCCGTACCGCCGTGCCGTGAAGGCTTCACGAGCCCACGATGTTCTTTGCCAAGCAACTGGGAAGCCTCGCCTCTCATGCTTCATCTCTCATGCTTTCAGCTCTCCCACAAGCAATCGGCTAAACACGAGTTCGTGAGCCTGTTCGTCGGATCATCGCCAAGTCGCCAAGTCCTCGTTATTGAAGTTTACGTATACGATGTTCGTTGGTAAGGCAATTGAGAAGATTTGGATTGCGAGAGGGTGTGAGCCGTGTCTAGTTTCGAGATGTATTAATACACGACATTGTTCATCACCATGAACAACAACTCTTCACCAAGATACCTCCAATCATCCAGTCCACTTCTCCCAACAAATCCCGAGCAAGCTCTCCACTGTTCTGTTCCTCTTCTTAGAATCTTTAAATCCTCAATCTACACCATGCAGTTCAACATCAACACCGTGGCCCTCCTCGCTGCCGCCCTCCTCCCCCTCGCATCCGCCGTCCCCTCGGACGCCAACGCCGTCGAGGCCACCCTGGCAAAGAGACAGAGGCAGTACCAGTGCGAGACCTCAAACAACCTCGGCGCCTGCAACAACGCTATTGCCAAACTGAGAGGTCACGAGGCTAGAGGCTGCGATGTCTGGTGTAAGTCCCCTTTTCCACCACACCTTTACGAGATACATAGCTGACAAGAAGGGGTGGAATAGCGTGCATCGGTGCCTTTGCGGCCGTTATCCCGGCTTGTGGAGCTGCTGTTGATGAGTTCTTCCTGAGTAAGCTCCCTTATGTAAATCCTTGCAGACGATGCCGGAGACATGTGGCTGACTTTCGATGTAGACCCCCTCGCTGATGTCGCTTGCCTCGGAGCCGTGGCCAACTTCCAAGGCCCTTGCAAGGGCTGTGAGCCTTTCTAGATGGAACGGGGGTTTCCAGGCAGCCAGGTCTTTCATTACGAGTGTTATACTCCTATGAATCAGTGTTATACTCCTATGAATCTTTCCTGGGGGATGGGGGGCGGAGGAGCGCGACCTCCCAGGCAGCCATGGCAATGAAGCTTGTCATGGCCGAGAGAGCGGGACTTACATAAGTGGCCCGATTACCTGATAGCAATGTTTTCATTCCCAATGCATTTCAATGCGTCGTACAATATCAGCATCCTGTAGCTTCGCGTGGCAACTAGTACTGATATTCCTGTGAATAACGTCATGATGCCAACGCCCACCCAGTACGAGAGAGTGCTTTGGCGGATTGGGAGCACTGGAGCAGTGTGATTGACAGATGAAATCGATGCATAAAACCTGTTCGTGGGCTTCCCTTACGACCAGAGCATGCCTCTGAACTCGCGGTGCCAGCTGCTTAGAGCTCTGTGGAATATGAAAGGCGTGTAGCATTTTATACATCATCCAGGACCCAGCCGCTGGGACGAATACGTCTTTCTGCTCGGCCGACGTAACGAGGTGCCTCGGAGCAGCAATCACTTTGAGAGCACGAGTGTAGAATGAATGATGTCACAAGGAGAAGCTTTATTAAAGCTATAGCTTAACGCCATTCAGGCTTCCTACCTACGCCTCTATACCAGTGAAACGGGCAAACAACCCGGAGCTATTCTGTCGCTCACCCACTACCCCTTTTTAAGCCGCACTCAGGCGGCGCTTTCGTTCTTGCAGGATCATTTTATTGAATCAAATATCCGTATCCATTTTGCTGATTTACTGTGCCTTCTTGTCACCCTTGGGCTGAGTGGAGGCGTACTGGTCAGAGAGCTCGTCGTAGCTCTTGTGCAGACCGGCGCTCTGCTTCTTGAGGGTCTCGAGGTCGCGGTTCTTCTCCTCGAGCTGCTTGCGGAGCTTGGCGATCTCACCGGCGTCACCGGCAACGGCGAGCTTCTCACTCTCCTTGGTGTTGCCCTTGGTGCCCTCGTAGCCGCGGACCTTGTCCTCCAGACGCATCACCTCAAGGATCATAACGTAGGTGCGGTTGAGGATGAGGGAGAGGAAGAGGGTGAAGCCGCAAAGGTACATGTTGCGCTGGGAGTAGAACTTGCGGGCTTGCACCTCAAGGCGCTCGTGGCCCATGACGGCGGCGCTATAGGATATCCTTGTTAGCATTGTATACACTAAGGAGTTTGTAGAGCTTGATTGTGGTGCTCAATCAAGGGAGCGTCTCAGGAACGCCGGAAGAGGGGCAAAGGAGACGTACCCGCTGTTCTGATTCTCAGTGGCAATCGCCAACTCGACTTGGACGCGGTAAACGCGGTTGACGCTGTCAATGAACAGAATCAGAATGAAGACGAATGTAATCTTCATCCAATACTGCACTTTTGCCACGATTGGACTCTCGGAGATGAAGCTGCGGAGAAGTGTACATTAGTTATCGGTTCGGAAAGCTCGGTGTAGAGTCGGCAGTAGAGAAGCGGTCGACAGAGGGAGGAACGTACGTGAACAACTTCCGCTTGACGGCGAAGGGAAGGGGCACCAGAAGGAGCATGAAAAGCCCCATCTCCGCCATGAGCAGCATAAACACCTGGGACACACAGAGAGTCAGCATTCATTGTCAACGGCTAGGCGAGCTATCCATTCCGCCAATGGCGAAAGAGGAAGCAGCTTGCAGTCGGGTGCAGTAGACGTACGAGAGTGTAGTAGAGAGTCATCTTGACTGGTGCGGGGAAAGCTTCAGCTCCCGGGATAGCTAGTTAGAAAAAAAGGGATTGTGGTCGTGTGCTCTCCGTAGATACAGGGAGAGATGTGTCGTGCGATGGAAAACACTTGGAAGCCCAAACTGACTTCTTCGGTGGTGTTCTTGTTGGGTGTCGTTCCTGGCGAGGGTAGATTTTGGTGTCTGGGGCTGTGATTTGTAGGAGCACAGTTGACGGGCTGGGCGGAGCTGGCCTTTTGTAGGATGGGTGTGAGGGTGACGATGGGGTCCGGTAATTCTGACAAGTAAAGGTGGCAGGTACGTGAATACAAGTATCCTCTTTGACGACTGCCTAAGCACCTGAAGGTGAGGTACTACGTATGGAACTTAATGAGAGGAACCCTTACGTAGCCGGGACGGGAGAGGGACCTTGGCGGGAGAACAGGGCTGGGAGCAGCTAGCAGGTGCAGCTAGCAGTGCTAGAACAGCCGTAAAAAAGACGTAAGTCAACAACGTCATCGGTGGCTCGTGCACGCTCCCTCCAAAGGGTTGCGGAGGGAGCCACTGGGGGGAGCTCAGGCACGCAGCTTTTCTAAGGCCTTCTTCAGTGGTGTGCTGCGGCTTGCGGGCTTTCAGCTAAGCCCGTCAAATGGCTTTGGTGTCCGCAAAAGTGTTCAGTGATGGCTGTAGCGGCAGCTGCCACCAGATGGCAGCATATTTGGCATCCAATACCCACGAGTCTGGAGTACGACTGGCTTCTGACGCTTGTCATCCCATGTGACGTCAGTCGTGGAATCGTCCAGACATGGAATGATAGGGGTGCAAAAGCGGATAGTCTGACGAACTAACCCGGTCCAGAACCCGCCCAAGGCTTCGCAGGTAGTGTAGTGCCACAGAGATGCTGGTTTTGTCACATGTGTTATCTCATCGCGTTTAGACTTCACCCTTCTTCTTCTTCTCTCAATATGCACGACGATAGAAATGGTTTGATACTTAATATTTGATAGTAAAGAGTCCTGTCGCTTACACTACCGCTACTCATGGCTTTGAATTGTGTATTCACACATCAAATTGAGGCCATGATATCCAAGCGGTCACTCCATCCGCTCCCACTACCAAGGGACGCGATCATGAACCTGAACGCCCAGCTTTTGAGTCCTAAACGAACTTGCAAATATCCCAAACGGGCACCACATCGTACAAACCCTACAAAGAAAAATCCGTCTCTCCACTCGCCGCATCACTCGTCACACCGCTTTATCGTTCCTGCCAGATAGGTCGCCCTTCGTGACGGATGGTTTATATGTAGTTTAGTTGTAGAACACGCTCTTTTGGAAGCTCTCGGGCGAAACATCTCCAATCTTCGTTTTGATTTCCGGTCCCTTTTCGGGAGCGGCGCCGGTGAGCGAGTTGGTTCGGCTGCTGTCGCTAGGTGCACCCTTGATGGCAGCGAGAGGCTGACCAGGTCGCTTGATAACCTCGAGGTAGGTCGACGGCAGATACCCGGTACGGCCATCGCGCGCGCGGCACTTCCACCACTCGCTAGGGTTGCCGATGGGATCGCTCTTGGAAAGAACAGCGACGAGGTCGCCCTTGCGCACTTCCATATCAACGTCCTTGACGGCGTTCCCAGGCTGAGGAGCGTAGTCGTACAGCAACCGGCAGTAATCAAGCTTGGACGGGTCCAAGGGCTGTTGCGCGTTGGCCAGCGCCATGCGGCGACGTTCCTCCTCCTCCGCAGATGCTGCCATGGTGTTGATCATCTTGCGCATCAGGTACGGGAGACCAAAGGCTGCAAGGAGGAAGAAGAAGAGCGGCTTGCGGGAAGCCTTGGGGGGTCCCAGGGGAGCACCGTCGGGGCCGATGGGCGACCGGCCTTCGAATTTGGCAAAGGCTGCTGGGGTGAGAGCGGTCGCGTCGGCTGGAGGCGGGCGGCCGGTGATCTTAGCGATAAGGGTGCGGATCCAACGCATCAAGGTGAAGATACCGAGTATCGAGCCCAAGGTATCCCTAAGATTGCTGAATTGCTCTGCTACTGACACCATTGCTGTGATATTCGTTAGTCATATTTCGCTTTCATGTGACGCAGTTGGCATACCAAAGAAGCTTGAGTGTGTGGCCATGTACGTGCTCTCCAACATCTGGGCGAAGCCTCCAAAGGCACCAACGACACCCTCCAACATCTGGAATGTCGCCTGCGTGCTGTTGTTGAATCTGTTGGTAAGGCTGTTCGGATCATTGGGTCCTCCCATGCCTCCCATACCGCCCATGCCCATACCGCCACCGTACATGCCTCCTCCATACATGCCACCGCCGTAACCGCCGCCATACATGCCACCACCGTACATACCGCCGCCGTAGCCACCGTAGGAACCCATCCTTGAGTATGGGCTGCTGTAAGGAGAAGAGTAGGCACCGCCGCCGTATGAGCCGTAGGGACTGGCGGCCGCACCTAAGCCTGCTCTGCTATAAGCGGCAGCGTTCTGGTCAACCGCGGAGGCGAGAGAGGCAGGTCGTTCGGGGACGGCGGGCGGGGTACCACCGGAGAGGGATGTGGCCGGTGTCGGGGTCGCGATAGATGCGGCAGACATGGGTGTGACTAGAGTGGTCGTTAGCAAAATGTGTTAATTTGGCGACGGTCAAGGACCGTTTGTGGTGTTCAACGCACTTGAGGCAGCTGTTGTTGGAGCACCGGCCCGTTCCCAGGGCTTTGGAGGGGAAGCCATAATTACTTTTCCCGGGAGGAAGAAGTTTTCCTTGGATACTGTGTGGTGGTGGTCGCTCGCTCGGCGTTATCTCGCAATCCGCCTATCGGGAGCGCAGCCGGTGGCGATTTTCTCGAGTCGTGTTGGTTTGTCGGCTGCTGCACGCTGGGCTCCGGATATGCGCGACGGAGGTTGGCGTTTACCGACCAAGTCGTCGGATTGAACTGACGATCAACCTCAATGGGAGATGCAGCGAAAATGAGGATTCGAACGACGTTTTGCGACGTGATGGAGAGAGGAGAGGGGAAGATAGAGTCGGGAACGGCCCACGGGTAAGAGAAAGCTGGAGGGTCGCTGGGATGGCGGAAACAAGTTGGGCTCGCAGCGTAATGCACCTGAGTAACAATGGGGGGCCGCGGCGGACGGGGACGTAGTCACAGTGCTGGGCAAGTGACCCCGGAGGCTCGTGCTTGGCGATTGGCAGTGAAGTGAGGTGGATGAGGTGAGCAGAGGAAACTGGAGACTTTGGTCTTTGGGGGAGACTTGGGAGAGTCAGCGGTTGGAGGCGCAGAATGTCAAAAAGATGGGGTCGGGGACGGGCGGGTCCCGCTCCTCCTTTCTGCGTCCAGTGGCTTCCATTCTTGCCTCGGTATCTTTCACGTTCCGACGTGGGCGGCCCAGGCCTCGCAACCTTCATGTTTTTCGCCGCTGCCGTGCCGCAGATACGTCCTTGGGCCGAGGCATCTTGCACCCTGGGGAAATTTGTCGTCCCTCCCGTCGCCATTTCGCATTAGCTTTACCGTTTCTAAGACCCTTGAATCTGGGGTTTCCCCGGTTGTTTGGGAAGTTGACGCTTTGCTGGATTTGTTGATCGACTATTCGTGCTGCAGAGCTGTTGCATTACATTACTAGCACTGACATGCCATCTCGCCGCGAACCAAATTGATCTGCGCTTCAATTCTTTCACCAAGATAAGATGTGCGACACTGAATCCGACTTTCAAACACAGAAGTAATCAAAAAAATACTAACATGAATTCATTCATTGATTATTTTTACTCATTGCAAGCTAACACGTCAATCTAACGTAGTAGACCAGGACCTACGCCAATCCAGAAAAGGCCTTGGCATTCTTCACATGCTCCTCCCACGTTGTCAACGTATCCTCGACAATTGCATGCGACTCGTCCAGCTTCTCCCCACCATAGTACCCAAACTCGTCGAGCAGCCTCATGTTCTGCAACATCTCCTCGGCCACGAAATCCGGCATCCCCTGGCCCTTGAGCGCGCCCTTGAACTGCTCGTGCGTGAGCTCGTTGAACCGCGCCGTCTTGCCCGCCTCCGGATACACCTTCTTGAACGTCTCAACCGCCTCGCCCGCCGTGACGTAGCTCGTCGCCGCGTACACCCGCTTGCCGAGCACCTTTTCGCGGTGCAGCACGATGCCCTTTACAAACTTACCCGTGTCGGCTGCCGCGTCAAACAACGGGATGGGCGCGCTGGCGGGCACGGGGAGGCTGAGGCCCCAGGCGTTGTCGGGGGGCGTCTGGCGGAACATGCCGCCGGGGAGGTTGGCCATGTAGAAGCCCGGGAGGAAGAAGGTTGCGGGGAGGGAGGTCGTGCGGATGTACTCTTCAACGGCGGCCTTGCTGTCAAAGTGGTACACGTCGGGGAGGGCGCCCTTGGATACTATTGTTGCGTGACATGTTAGCCTTCCCGGATCCTCATTCGCAAAACGTGACAGATGCATGTATCTTCTTGGGAGTGGACAGGCAGGTTACGTACGCTTGTTGACGTCGAGGAGAGAGCTGAAGATGAAATGCTCGACGCCAGCCTCCAGAGCCACATCTGCAATGTTCTTGCCCTGCTGAATCTCCAGCTCCTTGTCCATCTTGTCCCAGTAGTTGGTCACGGCGAAGACGGCCGAAGCGCCCTTGACAGCGGCAGCCAGCGAAGCCTTGTCACCGAGGTCGGCCTGTGTTTTGAAGTCACAGCACTCGTCAGCATGCCAATTTCAATACCATCACACCAAAGCTACGAAGTCGCTCGAGAGTAGATTAGTGACTTACAGCGACAACCTCGACGCCCTTGGCTGCGAGAGCCTTGGACGAGTCCTTGGTGGCATCGCGGGTGACGCCGCGGACCTGCCAATCCTTGCTGAGCTTGGCGTCGTTGAGGAAGATGTTGACGACGCTACCGCCCTGAGCGCCCGTGGCGCCGAACACGGTGATGATCTTCTTGGACATTTTCGTGTGTATTGGGTGGGTTTTCTGTTTTGGTGGTGATCTGTTTTATACAAGTGTCAGTTAAGTAGTGTTCGTCTTCGAGCATCACACTCCTAAATACCTTAATCGTGCGATTGAATTGGAGTAGTAAGTGTTGAAGAGCTATTGGAATGGTAGCTTGATGATCTTCTCCAAGAATCAACGTCAATGAAGACAAGCGATCGTCCGGTCTTTATACACAATGACACTCATGAACCTCTCTGCCCACCCCTCCTCCAAGGCGCATATGTCTCAGGACATGGACGAAGTACATGGTGCTAGACACACCTCGACATAAGCTACCAGATTAGGTAAAGCTAGGGCGCGCGGGAGAACCCCTCATCATCATGCACCTCCGTCTCACCCACAGGATCGTCCCGTACTGAAGGGTCCCGGTAGGTTAGTGGTCTCGCAAGGCTGGTGGACCTCGCGCCCGCGCGCATACTTGCTCGCGCTGGACCGTTGAAAGGACTTCCTTCCCCTCTCCATCTTACCTCACTACACTATCATGAGTATGTAAGCGGCGACTTGGTATGTACCTCATACAGTCGATTTACAATCTAGAAAAGTCTATCGTACTGAAACTTCGCGCGAAATCTGGCTTACCAAGATGGGGGAAAGCCGTGTAAGCTACCTTTTGGTTGGACAACTACAAATCAAAAAGCTGTACGTGTTCCCGCAAGCCGTGCATGCTCACCATGTATAGATTTTTGGTGCTACGGATTAAGCGTAGCCTTAATCGAGTTTCTACAGGCTACAGAGTAGTGTGTTCTGTACGCGTATGGACAATGAATACTCCGTACTCTGTAGATGATTGCTACGCTGGCTGTGTAATCGTAGGGAGGTAAGGAAGTGAGGTAGACCGTAGAAACATGGTGGGGAAAAGACCCCGGACCTCTCGCGCGGGAGCTTACAAAGCTTCGCGGTTCGCCCGCGCCTGTGAGAATTGCACCCCCATCAAGGATCCGCGAGCTTCCAGCCCATACTTGTCATCCTATTCCCCCAAACCGCGAAAGCGAAGTCGCGAGATGGGCCATAGGGCATAGCGCGCGCCTTGAATATTCTCAAGTTTATCATTGTAATTCAAGGTTTATCAGTCTTACGAGAACAAGCTGGAAATTTTAGGAATCCACATTCGCCATGAACATGTTGAAAAACGACAGTGCGAGTCGCGTGGCATAGGGCAACGTTCTTTCTGTACATTTGTCAGGCGCACGGAGGGTTAACCGGTTCGGATGTCCGTTCGCTCGCCGCCCCGGGTTCCGGAGTTTCCTGCAACGACCGGGACCACACTCACGCAATTACCACTATAGGTATTCGACTCGATAACGACTTCTTGATTGCAAGGGACTTCAGATGTTTGTTTGCAATCCCCTGGTCTCGCGCCACAATGACAACTCATAGACACACACACGTCCGCGCCTGTTCTTGCGATTGTCATCTGCCCTGTACCGGACAACTTGTGGCTTGTGGCGCGAGTGAGCTGTCTGCAGCGGGAAAGCCACAGAGCTCGGACTTCTCCACGAGGTGCAGCCCCCGGGGACTAAAGCTGTGACATGTGACTTCCTTTGAGCCCCCATGTTCTTTAGTTGGAAGGGGCATGTTTAGTCATTGAAAAGTATATCACGAGTAACATTGAGCATGAGCACAGTTGAAGCCACGCTTGTTTACTTTGAAAATTTTGGTATCAATTGGTACCTCCTCCCTGTTGGGAGAAAACCCTCTGGCTGAACTGTCTTGCAAGAAAAAACCAATCCTCCAGCCTCCTTTCCATAAAATCGTCAAAAAGGGCGCACTTTTCCGGGGCCGGTGGGTATCTTCGTCTTAGACGCCGTCTAATGTCGTTTCGCAATCCCCTTGCCCCCAAAGGCGAGAGTAACTAGCACCCTCGCATATCGAAAGAAAAAAAGAAGAAAGTCTCAATTCATCGGATGCCGAAGATCCAATGCATAAAGAAAAAATCTTGCTTGGGCTCAATCCAGCGAGAAGAAGAAGAAGTAAAAGTTGTCGTCAAACCCCCAATCCCATATATGCAAATCATGTACTTGTTGGAATCCCATCCAAGCAGAAATCAAAAACGTGGAAACACTCAAGACGACAAAGCAAACAAGGAGACCCTGTTGCTCTTGCCGCCGGTGCTTGCGGTCGAGACGGAGTCGGCGGAGAGCCAGCCCTCCACCTGAGAGCGGGTGATGCCAGAGCTCAAGTTGACGCTTGAGTCCAACATCTTGACTGAGACCTGGCCAGAGTCACCATCCAGGACAACAGCGACCTTGGCGGGGGCGCCAGTAGGACGATCAAAGTAGTCGGATGAGCCGCCGGGAACGTTGGAGTGGATGGTTGACTTGCACTTAGTATCGCCAGTGGCGAGGACCTCGAGAACGTCGAGCTCACCACAAGCAGGCCAGCAGGAGCAAGTACTGTACTGAGCAACGCGGGGGATGCGAGCGTTGAGGAACCAAAGGGCGGACATGTCGGCGTTGAAACCAGTGGTTCCGTCGAGAGGCATGCTCAGCTCAAAGAGCCAGACTGAATCCTCACCCTTGAAGCCGTCTAAGATGTGTAAGCAGACTGAAAGGCAGAACAAGATTTTATGAAATACTCACGGTATGCAACAGAGCCAGGGCGAGAGTATCCGCAGCCACCATCATCGCATGACTTGTCGCTGGCGATCAGGAACTCCTGGTTGGACTTGAGGGTGATCGGCTTCAAGACCTCGGGTGAAGCGGCGCCACCAGTGCCGGCGGCATTCAGGTAGGACAAAGAGTTACCAAAGACGCTGTTCTCGGTCAGTACACTGTGACTCATGTATAAAGAATCATCTTAAGTGGCACTTACTTGTCAAACTTGCCAGAGAGCTGGCCTCCGTAGTTGCCAAGGAACACGATGCCGTCAGCAACTCCCTCATCAGCGTTGTAGTAGCCGACACGCTCGTAGTCACCGCTAACGGAGCCCGAGCCCGAGCCAGAGCTTGAAGCAGCCTTGGAGCTGGCAGGCTGAGGAACAGCAGCAGCGACAGGGGGCTGAGAAGGAGTGGGAGTTGGGCTGGGCGCAACGACAGGAGCGACAGCAGGGGTCGCAGCAGCAGCAGGGGGTGCCGCGGGGGTAGGGCCAAAGTAGTTATTGATCCAGGACACGACCTTGCCGTCGATTTCCGCAACGACCCAGTCTTCACCACGCTTCTCCTCCTTGGGCTCCTCCTTGGGAGACTCGACCGATCTCTTGTGGAGGTGCTGGTGACCGTGATGGCCATGACGGCGAGCGTGGACGTGAGAAGCGGCAGGGGAGCGCTTGGCCTTGGAAGACAGGCTGTAGATAGCGACCTGCTTCAGCTGCATGGGACCACGGAAGACAGGCATAAGCTAGCATTTTGTGAGTACTTGTGCGAACGTGTAAGTGGATGGTGCTTAGAGAGAGAAAAAGGCTTACCTCCTCATTGAAAGGGGCTAGGGGACCTGAGAAAGCAACATCCTCAAAGGTGCAAGAACCATCATCACCCATGTGGTTGACAGCCTTGTAAGTGCCAGGGTGACCGACATTGGAATACAAGATCTGATCAACAGCACCGCACCACCAGTTACCACCCTCTTCCTTGGCCGTGCCGGAGCACTGTTGAATGGCCTGGGTAACAGCGGCCGAGGCCAGCATGAGAACCGTGTAAGACTTCATGATTGTTCTAGTGTCGTTCTCGAAAAGAATGGTTGGAATGAATGTTCAGAAATTGAGCTTTGCTGGGAAATTGGAGTGAGTTCCTCTGGGTATTTGACCGGCCTCAGAAGAGAATCGCAAGTGGCTGGTAAAAGTGATGTAGGAATGTCCCAGTGGTGTATGGATAGGGCCCAGGTTGTTCTTTGACTCGACTTGCGAGGTGTGACTGGGTCTGTTAGGAATGTTGATGTACTCAGTGAACCCTGTTCAACGGTGTGGCGTGTCTTGTCTCTGAATCAAGGACCAAGTGAGACCAAGGGTTGAGTGCGTGAGTAAGGAATGACTTGAGACGATGAGTCTCTTGGAAGGAGAGTCGATGCTATTCGATAGCCGGCAGGTCGAAGTTGTATGTTTTAACACTGGATCGTGGGGAGAAAAACAGGAGAAGAGGAGTTCTGGGTTAAGGTGAGTGTGGGAAGGCTGAGTTAATAAATCGGCCTAAGCAAACGAGGAAGTCGCAAGAAGGCGCATCTCGGGGAACAAGGTTAATGGGTGGATGGAGAAGGGTAGGATCCAATCTGAGGTGGGTGGATTTTCGCCCCGGTGGATAGGTACGGAGTACGGACGCTGGTGGGCAGACGGGCAGCGCCAGCAGGTCACAGCAGATGGGCAGGAGCGGACCTGCTTCTGGGCAGGAGCCAACCTACAGGGGGGTCCAGTCGCTCCTTCCCTTGGTTTTTGAAGGTGAATTGGATATTTACACGCCTCATTGCGGCAAGTGCCTTCTCCCATCCATCCTTTCCTCCTTCCTTCTCTGCAGACTGCAAGTGAGGAAGGAGGAGTCCAGGAACAGAAAAAGCCGTTGAATCATTGGGCGAAAGAGGGAAACAGAACAGAATGGACCAATCCGGGCTTGATTTTTATGAAACACTGGCTTGGCTCTCCATGGGGTCGTACCTTGCAGCTATTGGCAGGGGAGGACGGAGCTAACCTCAATCTCACCTCAGGCCCAGCAACGATACTTTTCTCCCTCAGCTTCGCCCGCGGCTCCCTTCGTACCTCTGTTGGTCAACTTGTCGGTGCCGTGTTGCATTCTGACGACGGCCAGCGGCTGCAGCACCTGAGCGGACTGTTGTCACCCATACGCCGTCCGGAATATGGTGATGTGAGAGTCACCGTAAACGCCAAGGGCCAAGCCAGGCCGTTTCGCTCTTCTCAATGAGGCTTGGCGAGAGACATCCAACCACCGTCCGGCACGCCCAGCTAGACTTCCTCGGCGTTCTGGGCTTTAATTTTGAGCACGACACGGATCCAAATGCAACATTCAAGGACAACAATGCCGCCAACTTGTGCCCGACAGGGCAACGAGACGGACGATGCCAAACCAGCAAGAAATAGGCCCAGACCGGTCGCGATAGATCAGCAGAGCAATACGAAGAATACTTTATGCCCCCGGGTTTGCCACGCCTCGAGAACACTTGGATCAGATGACGGCCTCGGCATTGCTGCTCGAGGCTGGGGGATCATTTCGGCTCCCCAGAAACCCGCTCTGTCGTTCTTCAGAAGTTCAGGTTCGCACAAAGACGATGTTCCGAACATCTGCTGCTGCTTTTCACAAACAACTAGTCCACTTCAGGCTTATTACTGAAGCCTACCCTCGCTGGTCAGCAATTGCAACACACCAGAAGGAGAGCGTCAAAGATAGCCTGAGAGGTGCTGTTGCAGCGCTCTCGAGCCCTCCTCAATTTGACTTCAGTCAGTTCATCGCCAGGGGTTGTCACCCCCGCCAATTTTCGGGGGATTTGGGGGTGGCAGTGACAGCGCCGGCGTTGCTGCGTCTGTGTGTGTTGACCTTGACAAGGTGACAAGCAAGATCAAGCGCGATTCAAGCTTACCCTGGTGTACGCCCGGTGTCCTCCAAGGTGTGTCCCCATCTCAAGTCCGACGGGGACCCCTCGCTCGACATGGGTTCATCCCAACGGCAGTGACATCTGGAATCCTCATATCGCCCCAATCAACACGCCCGTCCGATATCACTCAATCCACAGAACGCTCCATCTCATCCGATGTTTAATCGCGCAGACAACTTTCAACAACAGGCACCATCCCGACACCACCGTGCCGTCCAACCCATGCCGCGACACCGCGGAAGGACGGGTTGGGCCTCGCCTCCAGTGGTTCTTAGTCTTACTTTTGCGCTTCAACCCGTTCCAACCTCCGGCACCACGAGGATGAAGACGACGATCCCTCTGCTCCTTCTCATTAAGACTGAGTGCTACCCGGCTCCGTTGATCCGTTCTAGATCCGCTCTTTGACGGACGGCCTTGCTTGCTCAAGTTGCCTGAGTCGCAACCCGAGTCGCAATATGGCTGGCCAGAAAAGCAAAAATTCTTGGACAAAACATGCCGCGGGACGAAAGGAAAATTTCCGAGGCAACAAAAAACAAAAAAAGCCTAAACCTGGGAAAACCGCTCATCTGCCTACTCCACCGACTGTCCCTTGCGACCCGTCGTGCCACATGGCGGTCTCGCGGCATTGGTTCTTTCCATCACCACGTTGACGTCGTTGACCCGCAGGTCCAGTCGTGGGACTCGGTGCAATCTGCTGTGACAAGGCAAAAAGAGGGACAGCCTGACCAGACCCCTTGTGTCGGTGATGATATGAGCGAGGCTATCAGAGGAAGATGATTGATGGCCAGGCAATTTGGCAGTAAACAGCAAAGCAATCCGAAGCGAGGCCGTCTTTCATAAGCCGGAAGCCGTTGATGACTGAAAGTCAAAATCATCGCCAACCATCCACGACTTTGGCGTTCGCTGTTCCTGCATTAGCGGAAACGCCTACCCGGACCGTTTCCATTGGCTGCCCTGAACTTTTCATCTGCATTTGCGCACTCTATTCTCGCCGTGTTGAATGCTTATTCGACAACGGCGTTGCGTAGTCACTGTTGCTGACCATCCTCTGCGCTGCTGTGCAGTCCAGGTGGCAGGCCGGGCCAGGGCGCACCACGTTAAACATGCCGGCACATCGCCAAGGTTCTGCCGTTCTTCGGACGTCGACGAGTCAATTTCTTCGGACCTACAGTAGAAGCCAGAACTCATCTTGCATGCGTCCACGTCCCACGAGATGTTTGACTGGCGCAAAACTTTGAGCCTTTGCAGTGGACCACCGGGCTCTCGAGTAGGTGGTATCCGGACCATCGCCCAGCTCTACGCACACGGCATTTCTGCGGTGTATCCGTACACCCAACCAACACGTGAGAAACTGCAAAGTTCGTTGTCTCGAGAGATCTTCGCCTCCCGAACGTCTCAACCGTATCCCCGCCACGTGGAAACGCAAAAAAGATTCTGCCTATCCCCTCCGTCCGATTGGCATTCGGGAAACTAGTTCTTCCCACTTTAACTCATGATATTCCACCCGAGATCTAGTCTCGGCACGTGCCTGACTAAGAACGAGGTTAAACTACAGCGTCGTACCTGAAAATCGCTTCTCGAAAAGCGGGCATGGCGGTGGAATCCCATTAAGCCCTAAAGGAGAAGTTCGGCGCTTACTCAGTAGACCCTGTTGATACATACCCGTGGAGACTCGAGAGAAGAGGACTTAACCTAATGGTACGGAGTAGACTCTATCACCCGCAGCTTCATTGGGCCAAGTCACCATCGGGTCTTTTCTTTCCTTCGGGCAAATGCCGCTTGTCACTTGTAACTCACTCACACACATGCAAGGCTAGAAGATTTATCACCCGTGCCCAAAGTCGAGAGAATTTGTGCTTTGCTGCGCGATTTCAATCACCGCCTATCGCCATAGCGGAGTTCTGGCAGCGGGAAGGGGGTGTGGGTTTGGAAAGCCAAGTCATGGTTTTTGACTCGAGGCTGTTGGCTTTGAGATGATTTCATGAAGCCTGGTGATATATCGTCTTGCTCCCCTTACTTGCTGGCCATCACCTTGGTGCTTGAAATCACAAACATGACGGAGTACATGGGCATTTCGCAATACTGCAAGCAAAAGATGCAAAATTGGATGGAAATTAAGTTTGTGGTTTCTATTGAGCAGAGTGACTACGCAGATGCCTTGGCCTTCTTCCCGCGCCGAGCTCTACCACTTCGACCGCCCTGCCCATTCTCCTCCCCCTCATCATCAACAAACTCATCCTCATCCTCAGCAGCCGCCGTCCTAGCTCTAGCTTTCCTCTTTCCCGTAGCTCTAGTCGGCGCCGCCGTATCGGCAGCAGCAGCAGAAGCTCCGCTCCCCTGTTCTGCATCACCCGGCTGCTCCCCATTAGCATTAGCCCTCAACCGACTCACGGCGTTGGCCATCCTCTTGCTTGTCGCGCCCTTCTGCCTCGGCGCAAACGCGTCCCTTGCGCCCACGCCGACGGCACCCTCAAAGTACCTTGTGATATTCGTCTGCGTGCCCTCAATATCGCGCTTATTCATGTCCCGAATCACAGGTACCAGCACCTCGTCGGTGCGTTCCTTGCTCCACCCAATCGTCGCCATCAAGAACTGCCGTAGACCCTCGAGGTCCGGGACACCCCACTGGAAGTGCTCCGGGCTGTCGTCGACCTCGGGTCGGATGTAGGCGTCCGTGACGGCCGGGTTGGGGAACCCCGCTGGCAAGAAAAGCTTGGTGCCCTGTGACTTGCGGAACTTGCGGCGGAACGGCGACCCCGCGTCCGCCTCCTTGGGCCGGTTGTTTAGCTGCACGTCCGCCCACCACTCCTTGAACTGGGCAAGACCTTCCTTGCCGGGGAACTCGGAGAGGATCTCCACGGCTGTGACGGGACCGACACCGGGCAGGCCCTCGGTGTAATCAGAGCCGAGAAGCTGAGCAATGGCGATGAGCTGGTCGCGCGAGAGCGAAAGCTCCTTCTCGAGGTCCGAACCGAGGTAGCACTCGACAAACTTGTTACTGTTGAACATGTTCTTATAGATGCGCGTGCCACCAAAGAGAAAGCAATCCGAGTCGTCGGTGACGATGCCGTCCACCAGGCCCAGACGCACCAGCTCCGCACACTGCGCTTCCGCCTCCATTGGAGCGGTAATGTAGGGGATACCAAAGAGGCGGAGGAGTGCCTGACACTCGGTGACCATGACCTGTGTGACCTCGTCGGCGTCGCGACGGTCCTTCTTCTGCTGCGTGCGCAGCGCCTTGAGTTCCTTCTCGTATGCCTCCTTGTTCTCTTGCTCCGACTTGTTGTTCAGCTCGCTGGCAAAGCGGGCATGCTCTTCGGCTTCCTGCGCCAGGTTGGCAAACAGCTCCTCGTCTTCCGGGTCACTGAACTCATCGTCGCTTTCGGCGAAGACGGCGGCTTCGGCGTCTTGCACTGAATCGCCGGCCGTGTTCGGATCATTAAGCGTGGGCCCGTCCATAAGTTCTTCAAATGTAAGCTCGTGTTCTTCTTCTTCGACGGGCTTCGGCCCTTCTGTGGTGATGGTAACATCTTCCATGATTGGGTCCGGAGGGGAGTCGGGACCCTGTGGCTCGGTGACATCTTCCATCTCTGGCTCGGGGGAGTCAGGGACTGCTGTGATAGTGACCTCCATGTCCTCGTCGACTTCTTCAGGCTGAATGCCTTCAAATTCGATTTCGGAAGACTGCGATGATTTGCGTGATACGCCTGGCTTTTCTGACAACGCAGCCGTCTCGTCTTCTCCCTTCTCGGGCTCGACCTCTGCATTTGTGGCATCGTCGACGGCATTGAGTTCGTCAAGGAAAGTAATTTCCTCTTGGGAAGCAGCATGCTTCGGAGGCGGAGGCGCGTCAAGAATCTCAACATCGTCGTCTTCGTCATCAGAGGACTGGATCTCGATGAGCTGGTTTTGCCGTTGACGCTCGAACCTCCGCTCCTCTTCCTGTGCAGCCTCTCTATCTTCCGTGTTGATTTCACTTTCCACTTGCCGCTGTTGCTTAATCGACTCTCGGATATCTGTATTGTCCACCATCCAAGGAGGTAGGGGCTTAGGTCGGTCTTCTTCTAGCCCTCGTTCAAAGCCGCCTTCGTCGTCTTCATCGCCAGCAGGCTGCTCTTCAGCACCATCGGCCAAGAAACCGCCACCGAATTCGTCATCATCATCTTTGCGTGCCGGTTCTTGCAAATTTTGCGCCGGCTTCTTTGGGACTGCCGCTTCGGGCTTCTTTGACTGAGCCTTCATAGAGAAGAGAGAGGGTCCCCATGCGAGTTTAGGAAACGGCAATGGGCCATCGAAAGGGTTCTTGACGTTGGGCACTGCAGGCTTGGGCAGTACTCGCTTCTTCTGCCGAGAGGCTTTCAGAGCCGCCTGCAGGTCCATCTCTCCGTCGCTACTGCTGGCACTGTTGGCACGCTTCCTGGGCACCGCAGCATTAGACCTGTTGTTGACAATGTGGGCTACCATGCGACCGCTCCTCGCGGCGATCGGCTTGGGTGCCTCTACGGCCTTCTGCTTCCATTCAGGTGCCTCCAATTCCACATCTTCAAACTGCTCATCCTCCTCGGACTTTTCAGCAGCTTCTCCGTGCTGATTTTGTAGTGACATGGCAATGGCCCGGTTGATGTCGTCTTCTTCTTCTGGGTGCATTGGCTCCTCGTCTCGTTGCCTGGCAACATTTCTGACATGAGCTTCCGGCAAATCGCCATCGACGAAAAGACTTTCCTCCTCCTCTTCGAATAAGTCGTTCATTTCACTGCTTCCCCGGTTTCCATATAATTGTTGTCTCTGGATCGCTGCTTGCCGGGATGCTTGCGCGGCTGCGCTGGAAGACATCTTGGGCAGTCGGTTCAGCCCCTCGACCGGAACATCTTCAAAGTCGTCTTCCTCTTCAGATGCCTCGGCCTTTTCCTTTGGCTGAAATTGAAATTCCAAGGCATCGACATCAATGGGCTTGTGAGCTTCGCCGAGATCTTTCTCCTTGCTTACGACTCCCAGAGCCCAACCACCTTCTGCGCCGTCGTTCTTGACGAGGATGTACTCCCTGTCCTTTTCACCAGCGATTCTCCCGCCACCGTTCAGAGTGAGATCAAGACCAGTCATGCCGGCTTCCTTCATGAGGCGCTGTGTCAAGTTGTTCCTTTCGCGAACTCTTTCGATCTGAAATCTTGAAAAATCCATCCGATTCGGGAACATCTCGTCAAGCTGCTCTTTGCTCAAACCCATCCTCAAACGACTACGTAGTCTTGCCGCATTCAGGATGTTATATCTATCAGCTGCCGGTAAGCTTCGAAAGAACTCGCCATCAAAATCGATCTTGCTGAAGTCGTAGAGATTGATGTCTTCGCCGTCATGGAACTGTCGGGCATATTCTTCCAACTCTTCAATGCTCATAATTCTAGGATCATCCGCTTTGGCCATGGATGCAATATCGCCATCCATCTCGGGCAAATGATAGGCATCCTGCTTGAAAAACTTTCTCGTCTTTTGACGCTCTTGCTGCGACATGCCGACCTCGTCAACGTAGACAATTTGCTCCATATCAGGGATAGCCTCCTGCGGTTCCTCTCGCTCTCGTTGGATGCCTCGATCCGCATCCCGCTTCCTCCTGTCCTCCTCCTCTTCGGCAATCCGCTGCATCTGCACAGCCAGCAGCTTCCCAGCCGTGCGAACGGCATCCTCCCTCCGACCCTCGCGCCGCTGCTTGCGACCCTGAATCGTCTGACGCTTGAGAACGGGAGCCCCGCCGTCAAAGACGAAGACGGGCTTGATGCCGAACCACAACAGCTTGCAGATGCGGCGGAAGAAGCCGACAACGTGCGAGTTGCGCAGGGCGTTGCCCTCCTTATCACGCACTGCCTTGAGGAATTGGTATATCCAGATGGACGCATCAACGGCGAGGCGCTTTCGGTTAAGGGTCGCGAGGTTTGTCGGGCGCGCGCAGGGCTGCACGACGGTCCAGAGGCCGTTCACACCCATAGCGTCGGCGGGAGGGCAGAGCCGGCACCTTTGATTCGGACTTCACGGAAGGGTCAGCTTCAGAGGGCGTCTGGTGCTGCGAGAAGCGCTCTCCTCATCTACCGAGTGTATATCGCATTGTATACGGTGGGTACTACGTCCTGGAACAGTCGAAACAGCACAGATGTAAGTGTGGCGGTTGTGAAAAGTGAATGAGGTTACAAGTGTGTGAAGAATGAAGGCGGCCGCAGCTGCCTGTAAGCCATTTGACATGGGAGCTTAAGGTCATGACGCGCTTGCCTCCACTAGAGGCGCTCTTATCAATGCCTATCGATTGGGCACAGATGGGAGCGGCGGGGCACGAACCTCATCCGCTAGCAAGTCGCCGCCAAAGGGGACTGTTCGAAAGTGCGCCGTCTTTGCGCCATCCCATTCCTGCAGAGAACCTTCACGCTCCCCGACGCCTGGAAAAGCAATGTCCAACATTGCCGTCGACCAGTCGCCATGGACAAACAGGAGGGAAGAGATTTTCTGACTTCGCTTCTCAACAAGAACCTGCGCGTCCTGGCCACCGATGGCCGCATGTTCCTTGGCCAATTCAAGTGCACCGATCCAGTAGGTTACCACCCCTCCAACCCTAACCCCCTCCCCTCCCGGGCTCCCCTCGTCAAGATCGTTTCGCTAATCGATGTCAACCTCGATTTTATAGGATCGCAATGTAGTGCTAGCTCACACCTACGAATATCGACAGCCATCAGCGCAGCAACGGGCCGAAGCCGCCAAGAAGGCTACAGAAGGAACTGCCTCGGTCACGATGGACATGACGTCCCGGTACTTGGGCTTGGTCGTAGTGCCCGGGCAGTACATTGTGAAGATTGAAGTAGAAGAATTCGCAAGTCAGATCGGGGGCCGGAATCCATACGCCGACGTTGTCGTGTAGGTCTCGAAGCTGGTTGACTATTTGCGCGACTCGATCGGGTGGTGAACGAAGTGTGAAGCGCTCAAGATTACTGGCCTGGAGACATGCAGACTTCATTGAGTCTTAAGCATCACGCGGAATAGATGGCTGCAGTGTGTGAAATGGGTATGAAATACTGGACATTAAGAGCTGAAAATAAGGCACTATTTTAAACCATAAAATTCCATCCTATTTCACCGTAGCAAGTCGACCTCGACTAGATTACCGAGGCACCGATTCCTAAACACCTGCATCAAACGCTTTCCTTGGCTTTTGCCAAAACCCGAACATTACTGCCATTACGAGCTATGTGCTCAATGCCGTCCAATGCCAACAGCAAGAAGGGTTGACTCGAGTTCAGAGACATCTGGTCATCGTCTTATGCGACAACACTTTCGTGCTGGCGGCCTCTCGTCTCACCGCCGAGACCGTCATCGGTACCAACAGCAGAGTGGTGGATATCATCCTCCTCTTCGTCCTCATCGCTATACTCGGTTTCCTTGTTATGGGCCCGGGTCCACGACGAATCGTCGTTCAATGGAACATCTTGCCCCGAAAGGTCGTGACCTCCCTCAGCACGTGCCCTGATGTTATTTCTGCGGCGAGTTGACAGGGTGCGTGCACGAGTTGACAGCTTGGAAGACACAGCAGCTTGGGACGTGACCCAGTTGGTCAAAGCATCCTCGCAATCCTGGATGATGGCCTTGCTAGCTTCATATCCGTCATAAGCTGCACGCGTCTCTCCGGGAGTGACGGGGGTGTCGTCAATCAGCTCGAGCAGGTGCTTTCCGTAGCCGGCGACAATGGCAACCTTTTCGCAGTGCTCTCTCAGAGCATCGAATTGGTAGGTATAGGCAGCTTTGATCTTCTCGCGCGTAATGTTGGACAGCTGAGCCTCTGCGACCAACGATTCAGCCTCGGCACGCACCAGCTCCTGTTCAAGAACGACAATCTTGGGGGAGTTGGGCTCCTTGTACTTGAGCTGGGCGATCTGGTCGGTGATCTTTTGCTTGCCTAGAGTTGATGTTAGTTAGGCAAAAATACCCCATGTGTCTAGTATAGGATTAAGCTTACGGTCTCGGCTAGGTTGGACGGAAGCTTCAATGTTACGAATGCTCTTGATCGTAACACGGTATTGATCATAACGGTCGACGTATTGGTCCTCGAGTTCGCCGATTTCGTAGAGCAGAACTCCAAGCTTGTCGGTTACATCAGATACATCCTCGTCGCAAGCCTCGCCCCAAATGGAAAGTTGTTGCTAGAGAATTGAAGTCAGCAGATGTATGACGGGACGATAGTATCTTCGGACGACTTACAGCAACCTCCATACGTTCTCTCGCTACCTGCTCGAGACTGCGCATGACATTCTTCTCCATCTTGACCAGCTGGGAAAGCTTCTTTGCGAGGTCTGGGCCGAAGGCACCGGCTGACTTGTGGCGGAGGGCATGGCCTAAAATGGCTTATTAGTCCATTGCGCTTCCCCGATAGCAAAGATGCGGAATGGCACGGTGCAACGGTGGCAAGCGATGAGAAAAGACTACTTACCAAATCCTCCCTTGAACAGGCGACCAGACTTGGTGGAAGAAGGCGGCGGAGGCGGGTTCTACGAACACGGTAAGCATCGTACCATACATCGAAGATTGTCATAAAGTTAGGCGCATACTTGGATCTGAGAGGCGGTGGGCGCCCTCGACTGGCGCATGGAGTATGTGCGATGCATGATGTCGGGAGTGACGTTAACCGACTGTAATGGCGGTAGTAAGACGGCGTCGGCGGTATGAAGTCGTTGTAGACAATGGATCTGTGTATCTAGGAGAATGAAGCTTCAATGCAGTGATGCGCTGCGAAGCAGGGTATCGCGGGGTGTGACAAGGGGTATGAGTGGGAAGAGATCAAATGGAGGTCGGGTCAAAGGGGGCCTGGGGATGAAGCGAGGCCGGGTGTTTATATGTAGGCGCCGGAAAGGGTCCAGTGGTGTGGTCTTCTGCGTAAGGTAAGGGGAGGTTAGGTTGTTGCGGAGGTGACGGGACGGACAAGACAAGGTGCGCGTACTTCGTACCTACGCAGTAAAAGGTAGGCCGTCAGTGGGAGATGTGACGGTCTGGCGGGAGTGTGTGTGTGCCGTCCCCCCTTGAATGCTCCTCCCCCTCGGTGCCTCTTTCGCGCTGACGACGTCATCTGTGTCTTTAGCTCGACTTTTTGGCGTTGTTCGCAGCGTCACCCAGCTAACCTGGTGCCTGCAGGCCTGCGCTGGTACACAAAAAGGCCCCACATCAAAGGTATCGACGGCGTGCATTTCAGCCGAAATCAGCTTGTCATCGTCTTCAAAAGCTACAACCCCCAAATCTCTATCCAAAGTCACTCCTCCTTGCGGTCTAGCCCGGCCTACATTAGCTGAAAAGTGCAGGCGAAGACCTGCTAAGTGACCTGACACCGAGCAATCCATGCGTGCGGCCTGCCGTGGTTGGAGCGAGAAAGACAAGCATAGGCAAACACATCCCCCATTCGAATTTCAAGAAACACAGCCATAATGATCGCCATCCGGGATGGCGCCGTCTCTACGAACCCTTCGCCCAATGTGGGTTCATGAAACGGACGGCCGGGCTCTAGGGGACCGACTTGGGAAGTTGGGATGAGGAAGACAGCAAGCTTTCGACGCAAGCTGCAAGAAAGGACCCATCAACCCATGCCTATCTGTTTCCATTACCAGGCCATCTGCAGGTCCCGACGGGGGTTGGACTATTGAACTGAGCAGCACGCAGGTGGGCTGGGATGGATCATGGGTTGGTCCATCTTAGCTTTTTTAACCTTCCGACTGCCATCTGGGCATTCGTGCGGTTAAGGTAGAGGGGCCAACAATTCTCAATTCTCACCACTGCCCAAAGTCTTGCTCCAATGCCCAAGTAAATAAGTACGTTCATTTCCATCTATTCTCGAGGCCGTCGGGCTTAAGAACATAAACGGCATCATGAGCAAAGACATTCCTCAAGATAGGACCAAATCGCCCTCAAAACTCTCCGTCTTGCCAGTGGACACATCAAATCAAATTGTCGTCCAAGGTTTATGATGCTAGCGCCGCAATGCCGTCCGCTTCGGCACGGCCTGCTCCAGGTATTTGGAGGCTAGGCCGACTGTGCTTGGCCGTGTAATGTGCGATGATTTCATCGATTCCTCTTTGACTGCGCGAACCATTCCTTAGCGCCGCCTTCTCCCGTTGGTCCGTTTTGCCAATCTCCAAACACACCTCATCTGCTTTAGCAGCTTCATTGCCGGATTAATCCAGTCCGGTTGCCAGGGGTTTTTACACTAGCTACGGATAGTCTGGTCTTGTTCATGATTGCCGGTAGCATGACTCAGCACCAGTCGTCTCCCATACCTTGCCGTGCTTGCTGAATACTATCTTATCTAAGCTAGCAAGCACAGGAGCTCATTTATAGCAGCAGTCTTCGCAGTTCACTACCGACGAGATATCGATACTGCATTTACCAAAAACATGTTCAACGGCTGTGTAGGTTCTTGCATTACCATGAAAACGATAACCTCTTTGGATTCAGTCATACACCCAACACCCAGCACCTGATTCATCAACGAAGTATAATGATGTGATCAACTTGTCACAATCAGCTATCGCAAGCTTCAATGACGCAGAGTTGCACATCGGTATGTAGAGAGAAAGGAACGAATTCAAGAATTGGCTGTTTCTTTACCCAAGGCACTCAGTGATTCCGCCCTTCGCATGTCAAGCTCTTCAATCCTCCTATGAGGAAGTCAAGAAGAATTGAAATATTTGAATACAAATTGTGCAGCACGCTTGAGTGTAGATATGGAATCAAGGGTTGTGCTAAGAGAGGATATCAATTTTGTCTGTCAATCGCGTGCTCGCCAGGGTTAACACCTTTGAATGTTGGACTCGGCATCGCAAGGCTGGGGCTATTTGTGCTATTACGGTCTAACAACTGCAATTTCCTCTCTCGCTATGTTTGCACTAGTTGTGTTGAGTTGATTGACTCGACTTGCGCGACAACTACAGGAATTAGTCTCTGGGCGTCTACATACCTTATGTATGAAAAGAGTTGGTAGAGTGCATTGCCTGCGGTACTTCGTAGAGACGATGCTGTTGTAGAAGACTACCTTACCACCTTACTATCTGCACGGTCATAGCGTATCGCCTCTCTTTGCAACTCAACACAGGCGGAAATTGACACGCAAGCGTAAAAGTCCTGTGCACGGTTCTCTTCTGCGTCGAACCCGAAACTCAATAAGTTGACTCGAAGAGTCAAGATATAACAGTTGTAACAAATAATTAGAATCCGCGATCAGTATCCTGGGTGCCTGGTAGAAAGGGTGAAGGGTGATTAAGCAAGTTGTCGAGATACTCAAGTAACTTTGACGCTTGAAGACACTGGTCTCTTAGTTATCTGGCTTGGTAAGTACCTGCCTGAGACGTGGTCACAAACATAGCATGTTCTACTGCAACACGTTGAAATAGAAACTGAAACTTAGCGAATGTCTAGAATCGATTGCAAAAAAGAAAGGTTCTCATTTGGCATCTGGAACCTGGTTGTCAAAGTCTCTCAAGATTGTAGCAACAGTCCGCAACGCACGGAAAATGAAGGAGCCAGACAATATCTGAGCCGGGATTGCGAAGAGCTCGAAGCACAACCCCTGCTCCCCGCCCCAGTTTCGGCCTAGTGCCTTGCAATCTCTCCCTCCAACTCTTTCCTTTCATGAACGCGCTTAGCCTCGCAGTTCACCAACGCGTCTCACAATATCTCATCTTCTCTCATCATCAACCTCATCTCACAAAGTCCACTTTCGTGATCCTCGTGGACCGCCACTCCCTTTTTTCATCGCCATCATCCCTCAACTTTTCTAATTTGACTTGACTTCATCAGCGGCTCATTATTGTGGCGGCCTAGCATGGTACTCCCATAGTCAATGTTTACAGGCTTTGCTTACGCTGACAACGGGGAAAGAGGGCATGGTGAGCGACCGTGTCTTTGTCTGTGTTCGCGCACGCAAGTGAGGAGGACGTAGCAGAGGCCATCAGAGACGGGGAAAGAAGGCGCCGCCACCGTCGCTTTCTTTGCGCCCCTGCCTTAATTCACTTGAGGTGTCCTTCGACATGTCCCCCTTCCGCGCTGGGTCCGACCGGGACCATCCTTCGCGAAAAGGTCCCTACATCGACTACGCCAGATTTCTCCCACTCAACACCGATCCCGCCTCCACCCACTACATGAACCGCACTCAGGCTGAGCCACCGTTTCGCGATCAAGAAGAGTCCAGGAAAAAGATCGATATCATCGATCTAACCCTCAACTCCAGTCCCGTATCACGATCCTCCATTCATCACCAATTGGATGCCGATCGCGCGCCACCCCTCAGAACAAAGGTTGAGAGTCAGGGCCCTCCGGGTTTTTCTCTGGGCCTTGCGCATAGCCTTTCGGACCCGAGCGGCGGCTCAACCGCCGCTTCCAGCAATGCCGCCTCAGTCCTGGATCCTTCGCCACCGCCAGTATCCGTTCAACCTTCGGTCTCATCAATCGACCTGGAGGACGGCCTAAACGGCGAGATGCCTCGACCGCCGCGACTTGAGGCGTCGTTGAAAACGCCTCAACAGGTAACGCCGCCGTCATCGACGCGACCCTCAAGCCATCAGTCTCCCAAGCAAGCCGCCATTTCCAAGAAGCAGACCCCGAAAAAGGACATTTCTGATGTCCGGCAAATCATTACCTCGCTGCGGGGTTACTCAGCCGATATCAGCAATGTGCATTCGCAACTGTGTCTCTATGCTCTCAGGTCTACCAAACCTGTCGAGACGCGCGCCAAGACCGGCACAGATTACTTTGCTGATGTTAAATTGGCCCCGGCTGATGCTGAGAAAACGGGCACCACCATGACAATCCGGGCCAAAGTGAGTCAAATCGTTGTTTTCGGGCATCCCGAAGACTTTGCAATGTTTTCAGTGACTAACCTCTCTAAAGCAACATTTCCGTGGCAGAAAGGTGGACACTCTCAGAGCTACGCACTACCTCCCAGTGTGTGTCAAGTCCGACAAGCCTGCCGTGCCCAGGTATCGTTTCCATCATACGGAAATCATCAAGAATGTTTTGTCCCCCAACTCAATGCTCAAGTTCGTGCCCGTCATTCGAGACCTCGACCCTGACGAGGAGCGAGATTATAATCTCTGGCTTGGTGAGCTGGAGAGAATGGACAAAAGCTGTGGATTCGAGACTCTCGGCAGTCGTGACCAACGGGTTGCCCGGACTATCAAAAAGGAAAGAACCGCGACGCTATCACTATTCTTGGACTCCTGGCTCAGAAAGATCGCGATCGACAACTGTAATCGAACTACCTTGATTCGCCACATGGCAAGTTCAAATTCCGATGATGCTATCACGCCACAGCAGAAGACGAGTCTGGTCAACCTACACAGCGACGACAATATGGCCGCGACTACGCCAAGGGCTTTGAAAGCTGCGAGAGTGTTCACGGAGGCGTTTGACCAAGTCTTTTACCATGACGCTCCTAAAGGAAAGGAAATCCTCCTCCGTGACGTTCTGAAGCTTGATAAGTCTGTCGATGAGATTGTCGAATCGAAGAAGACGGCGAAGGGTGGACAAGACGACAGCGAAAAAGTAGACTCTTTGGAGCAATGGATCGAAACTCACACGGTTATGGGCTGTCTCATATGCTACAGCAATTCGTGCGAGCATGGAGATTACAGCATTGAGAACCACAAGCGCAATTTCTCTATGGATTGCATTGGCATGTACGGGCGCATGTTCTCAGCAAATCGCACGGTATCCTCTAGTGATCCAGTAGAGCCGCTGGAGCCTCCCCCGCCGTGTGAAAGACAGTGCTTCCAGATCTATGGTACCGGCAGCGCCGATTCGCAGGGGAAGCCGTGGACCAAAGACGAGACTCTCTTACTACGCAGCTTGTTCACGATCTTGGATCATAACAAGGTCCGAGTCAAGGCTCAATGCGCTACGGCCGAGATTCTCAACAGAGACTGTCGGGACGTACATCGCCATCTGCAATCTCTGGACATCAGGCTTCCGCCCATTCAAACGAT